GTGTTCCTATATATAACGTTAAGTAATTAATTGTGTGGCAAAATCCATGTATAATACTATAAATAATAATTTTCTACAACCCTACGATGAGGAATTTAGAATTTTTTTATGACCATAAAAACTCGAAGTAGCTTAGTTAAAATATATATCATTAGATAATATTTATTTAAATTAAATAGAACCAATAAATAGTTCATCAGATAATGTATTTTCTACAAGTCTTAAATATACGTATGATATATTAATATAAATATATTATAACCACCAATGTACCGAACAAATCTAACAATTTCAAAAAAATGTTTTCCTCAACTTTAACTTAGTATATAAAATTATAACCTTTAGGCATTTTCGTAATGTTGTAAAAACTAAAGACCTGCAATTTTAATGAAGTATCTAAGTTATTATTATAACCCATTTTTCACGGAGATTTTTAAGCCATTAAAATAATTAACTTTTTAAACATTTTTTCTTTTTTATGTATATAATATACAATTGCAAAGCGCTTATATTGCTGTCTTCAATATAGGAGATTTTTGACAATTCTCTTCATATTTTACCCAATCAATACATTACAAAATTTTTTGTATGAATTTATTTGTTTTTTGCACTTGATTCTTAATGTATCAACCAAATAATCAATATTTTTTGTCTTTGTCTCAATATTATGCATTAGTTTTATACTAATAAATTTGAAAAGTTAATATATTAGGATACTCATCCTTGTCATCATGTGTATTATGAAAAAAATTATTATAAAGAAGATTACTTAATAATTTATTAGTTTCTTAGATTAAACTAAATTTACCTTTAAATTAATTTTGATTCTTTATTCTACAGTGAATGAAAAAAAAATACGATAGAGATGGAAAGAGATAATTATAAATAATAGAAATAAGGTAAATGCATTTTCTCCTCTTTCCAACTTTTTCTTAATAAAGATAGTAAATAGGCCATGTATATAATATTTATTGATGTTTGATAATAATACATTAGCATATAGGTAGTTCAAATTAATTTGTACTCTTTATGCAGCGTATATCACGATATCATAATGCACTTAAACCTTAGTATTTAATAATAATTAAAATAGTAAAATATAATAAGTAAATCATACGAATTTATTTCCAATTTACTAATTTAGAATGCGTACAATATATTGTATTATTAATAAATACGTTATAACTTATAAGTTAATATCCAAAAAAAAATTCAAAATTAATTAATCTAAACATTCAGTTTGTAATAAATATAGGCACACAATTGTATACTTGACCTATACATGTTAATAATAAATGAAATATTTATAATTATAATTTATAAGTTTATAACTAAAAGAATTATATTATTGGATCATGACCTGAAGTTACTATAATAATATAGATACGCGTCAACAAAAAACATTTTTAAATGATCTATGATTCATTTACTATTAATTATTTTATTTTATATTATATTATTGTTTTCAATGTTTTCAATTCAATAGACAAAAAACTTGTCATCGCCTCAAGACTTATGAAAATATAATATCAAGATGACTTTTATCATGTCGAGAATACATTCAACTGCATAAACTAATTGAAATAGGTAGGTCTCTCTATTATAAATATACATCACACAATATCTGCAAATAAGACTGGTGGTTAGAACTTAAAAATTGTTAACAAGAAAGTGATCATCGAGATGTTTAATAACTGTTTTGTATAACAACAGAAACTCATACTCACATTTAGTATATATTATACTTGTATACACATTCATAATTCTAAATAAATTATATTTTCATCAAAAATATTTTAATTTTAGACAGTATGAAGGTATGTATACATTTAAATAAAAATTAAATAGATTTAGTTGCTATATATTCAAATGCTACAATTTTGCCTACCCTAGCCTGTCGGCCACATAAATCAAATTACCAGCCATTTAATTTTTTGTGAAATCTAAAAAGTACTAGGTATAATTCGTACAGAATAATTTTTTCTTTTACTGGGTATCTCGAACAGGCATTTAAAATAGCACACTGACTCAAGGCAAAAATTGAAAATTAAAAATCAAGATGTGTGAATATAACGATTATGCTCTTTCCCTATGCATACCCTTTAATTATGGTGACCAAATATATTGATAGGACAAAATTATACTCATTTTTCTACCTACGAGTTTTTATACACGATAATGATTTTTTTAAATTTAATTATTCATTTATATCTTATGATTCTACCAAAAGTATATTAATACAATATAATATGCAAAGCTATTGAAATTTAAGGCACAGGAAACACATTATCAATAAATGTTTGAAAGTATTTAACATTTTATTTTTTTAATAATTATACATTAAAATATTTCTTATACTTTCAATGTATTAAGTTTTATAGTATTTTCATCATGAAAAAAAACATACATAATAAGTTGGAATAATAATTAAATTGTAATTTCAAACAAATAGTAGTTGTTGTTGATAATATAAAAATTGAAAAAAAAAGAGTAATTAGATAAAAAGAACAATTTGTATAAATGAAGATCATTTATGGGAAAAATAGGTAGAATAGTCTATACGTTGACTAACTCGTTCAAGTGAGAGGTTTTTTTGATAGAAAGGCAAAGTTTTAAAATGTACCTACTTTTTTGGTTTTCTATACTTGGTCACCATACCTATAATTATCAGAATTCACAAAAATCAGTTCTAAAAAAACATCAAAACTAATAAATATATTTAATTTACATCTAGATTCCAAAATAATTAAGTAACTATTATTAGGGATCTTAGAAGAAAGCATTACGTATAATAAGGATTTTAATAGTTACAACAACATTACATAGTACTTTATTTTTTATACAATTTGTATACTTTTCATTTTGCTCATAATCATATAGTACTATACCTACGTAAAATACACTCGTTAGTCATCAATTCTGAATTCAGAAGACCTACAATCCTACGTTTTCATTGTATTCTTACACAAGATAAAATAATCATGGTGCAATTGTTCATCAATGATGAACGTATAGATATCTACTTTAATATATGCAGTTGCATAATAATATCAACAATCAACAAATGGTGTATATACATACTAACATCGCATAACGTAAATAACGATTAAAATGTAACGTCATTTAATTGATAAAAACATAAAATTTCGACGGGTAAACATATAACTATAAAAATACGACAAGTAAAAATAGTATATAGCTCCCCTAATATTTTTTTCAGTACTTATAAAATTCTTAATAAAATATAGAGCATACAAATTAATATGACCAAACAGATACCTATAAATTAAAATCTCCCACTTAATACTTTTTCGTATTTATTAGTTATTACAAGTTTTTTTCTATTAAAAAATGTTTTTTAAGATGAACGCAACAAATTTAAATTAATTTTACGATGTTCGGGAAATAGTTAATAATGTATTCTTAAATAGCTTTATTCTTGATGACAAAATATGTTAAAATGACTCTAGAGCAGTAGGTATCACTAGTATTACAAAGGTTAGTTGTACTATTAATAAAATCACGACATAATTCATGAAATTCAAGTTTAAATAATGGGAATGTCTAGATTAAATGTTTCAATTTCTTTCGATTAGATTTAAAACGGTATTATTTTTCTTACCTTGAACGATAAGTGTTTGTGTTTTATTTAGTCAATTTATAAAAAAAACCATACTCGGGAATTATAAATGATATTACAATGTATTATAATACGTATTCATATATTAATTAATACTAGCTATAAACGTACAGTGCCCAAGTTTGCGTAATATACACACCCACGCGCGAGCTCAAAATTATGTAGTTCAGAGCAAAAACCTATTTGATAAATTAGTTGAATTTTGTTCAATAAAAACAAAAATAAAAAAATAGGCGTTGGTACTATGTATATTTCCTCGGTCAAAATGAATTTTTTTACTAACAGTCGGATCGCATTGATTTAGTAACTATTAAATTATATTAACAAAAATCCAAAATTCGAACAAACCAAACAAAATATGATGAAGACATATTGAAGCCAACAATAATTTACACGTCGTGTGACGAAAGTGTACTATACATATTATAGTATACACAAAATTATATTATTTGTATAATATATGCTCAGACCACTCGAGTTTTCAAGATGATCGATAAATTCGTCAACTTTGTCATCTCGTTTTTATTTCAAATAGGGTATTCCTACTTCCTTGAACAATATTTGATATCTAACACACACTTGTTGTGTAGATATTGTGTGTATAACTGTATATTATATTATACGCTTATATATATATTTGTTTGTAAACACACATGACGTGTCGCAATAGGTGTATCTATGTATGCCGTAATCGAAATCACATTTTAGGACGATAAATAAACGAACATAAAGATTACGTTAATCTTACCCAGCAGACAACCGTTACAGAACATCGAGAGGATAATATTATAAAAATACTATATTATTACGTATTAGTCAAATATAAAATAATAATTTGCAACAAAACGATGTATCTTAGCTATGTTACGTATATAGTGTTTGTAAATCTAATCTTTCGCCGGTACGAGAACGTATTACTGTGGTTTAGATGTACGGCGGCGTTATACAATTGTTCATAATTTTATATCGTAAAAATCACTGACATGTGCTGGCGTGTCAGAAACTCTTCAAAATGATGGAGGGGCAGGGAGAGCTAAATTGAAAAAATGTTTTAACACAGCTCTTGAACGCCCTATAGTCTCTATCTCGACAGCACTAGTCAATAAACTTTGAAATGCTAATATCGCGTAAGTACTGCAAATGTTGAACAGATTATTATTATCGTTACGATTAAAACATTGTAAGAACCAAAAACCGCCGCACACCCGAGGGAGATCGCCCCTGGGGAAAAAAATACAGGTACCCATGATGATCAAACTCGCCGAATACGCCGGGACGGGTGAAAATGAAATATAATTATTATTAAATAAAAAAATAAAAGTATAAATATGACGGATGGTGGAGAGGGGATACTACCTACCATCAAACCGTTCAGAGTGACTCCGCTTCTGACTTTGAGATACTTCTTCCGCAACACTCGCCATACGACATAGGCCATCGCAATGATCCATATAACGTGTTAATAATATAAGTACCTGGTACTATGATTGCAGCGCGAATGTACACGGCGGAAAAGGCGAAACGATGCGCCCGCGCCCGATCACATTTCTGCGGCGTTTCTTTGTCTAGTTCGTCTACCTACACCCAGGTACTGTTAACGATACGCGTCATGTTCTGGGCAGAGTCGCGCCGGTCCTCGCCCGTACTGTACGCACTCACTTACGTTTTGCCCACGCGATTAATAATAATTATTGACGACGATATCGCATTATCCGCTCGCTGTCGACCGCGCGGATCACACGGACGCCGCGCGTTGCTGTCGAAAACCACACGAACCGAACCGAAAAACGACTCGAACGGACGACGTGCCCGGCGAACAAACCGAGCCCCGCGGACAGGTGCGAGTTTCGTGTTTGGAGGCAGGCGATTATTCTGCTATTAATAATAATTGCTGTCGCCCGATTCTCGATAACGTTTTTACGAGGCGATCGAGCGCACGATGTTTTTATTAGGTAAATTATTATCGTATTGGTACCACTATGGGTTTGTCGAAAAATCGCGGAACGAAAATACGCGACGCGACGCACCTAACCGTCCGACGACCGACTGTGATACCTGTGCGCGCGACTGGCGACCGTTTGACAGACGACGGCGGCGAGGAGTATGGTGTGCTACGCGTGTGTGGTTGCGGTTCGGGGCCGACGCGGATCACGTGCTCCCACGGCACGGTCGTTTTCGGCGGGGGGCGGTGGTCGTGCGCGGGGGAAAACAATAATCATCGGCGGCGTCGGAAGGCCCAAATATCGTTTAGGTACGAGAACGTCGTTAATAACAAGTAATAACGATATTGATACATAAATTAATAATAATAATAATAATATTATGTGCACAAAAAAAAAAAAAAAATTATAAAATAAAACACGCGTATCGGATTATCGCCAAGTCCCCGCGAGCCGTGCACATCCGATAAAACAATGGAATAATGCGATGATAATGATATAACGATAATTATTACTATTATTTTTGTCGTCGTTGCGTTGTATATTATTGTACACGACGCATTGTCGCTGAAATCCATATATTATAAGGTACACACAATACTGCTCGTCGTAAGTCGTATAATAATATTAGATATTATATTATATTTTACGCAATTCACGCGAAAAAATGTATTTAATACTTAGTAAATAATATTTTATACGCACATAAGTCGTATTTTTTTTCAATCGTTATGATTAAACATTAGTAGTATAAACATATTGTATGCGCCTCGTTTAGTTGTTTATTGTTTTCGGTACGGCGCGTCCGAAACGTCGTCGACGAGAAAACTCGTCAAAACTATGTTGTCATAATAACACTATAAATTGGAACAATTCGATGTATATATATATATATATTTTTTTTAGCAGAGTCTGTGGGGGAATTATAAATATAATATCCGACTTCAGAAACACGGCTTGGAAATAATATATAGGTTACATTTTACTGCAACTGTGGAAAATCTATGTTTACCTACATATATATAGGCTATAATTTATGTATCATATTTTACATTCATATAGTTACGAGTCGCATAAATTATTATTTTTTACTAATATATTAGAAATATAAATATAATGTTTAAAATAATGGTATACTGAAATATAACTTAAAATGTTAGGTGTTTCACGTATTTTTCGGGATCAAACATTACACAAAGTTTGGATAAAAAATGTTTTATTATTATTAAATAATAAAGGTATATAAAAGAAAAAAAAATTAAATATAACTCTTAGTCTCATTTTTAGAATTACTCATAGTCATAAGTCATAAGTCATTACTCATTAGTCATCATTAATATGCTTAAAAATTAGTAACAAAATCAAAAACTCCATTTTTTAAAAACAAAACACTTAAGTCTTAAAATTCTTAATTTAATTCTCAATACATGTTCTCTAACATTCAATTTAAAAAATTGAATACATAAAATAATGGATAATTAACCAACAGAAAAATATAGAAAAAAATAGTTTACCTTGAAAATGTGACACAATATTCACTACACTCACATCACTGCCAACTTGTGCCAAGTACCTACCCAGCTATAAAATATGCTTGATTTTTTATGAAATAGCTAATAGCCGTATCATATTATGTAAGTTGTAGATGGTATGAAGTGCAGTTTAGTTTGTTACGAATATTTTTAAGTAACATACATAATTTCTTTCATCATTCTGTTCGACATTACAACAAATGGAAAATGGATAAAACCTGACTTTAAAATGTTATCTATTTGAGTAGATATCTACCTACATTCAAACATAATAATTGTAAGTAACACTCTAATAATATTATTTTTGTAGACCGAGTGAGCCGGAAGGTTTAATCTAATACCTACCTCCTATATAATACTCGTAATATAATTTATCTTCATTCTTTAATGTGCTGGAAATCTAGATTATAAAAATGTTTTAATAAAAGGTTTTCCCAGTCTCTCAGTATAGATACGGATAAAGCATATTACTTATGTATTATACACTATATTTATAAAAATGCATTTGTTGATAATTGGCTTTTATTATGTAGGTAGAAAGTTACATAAATTTGCAGGAAATGGAAAAATATTTAATTCGTCATTTTCAGTTCTTTAAGATGAGTCACTAAAAGCAACCGATTTTTATTAGTTATCTCAAAAATGAATCAGACACTAGTATATCATTTAGGTTTTTATAAAGATTCATCTAACTTTTTAAACATTTATCAACAATAATAATTATTTTAAAATGGTACTAAAGACAATAAAGTAATTAATTATTAATATTATCATTTACAAATAACAAATTATATACATAATACGTAACATGACACATTATATTGTTTAGTCTAACAATACTTAATCAATAATCATTATAAAATCAATACATTATAACATGTAATATAATAATATAACTGTTAACTATACTTATTAAACATCAATATTTAGATTAAATTAAATAATATATACCCATTTAACATGTGTATTGCGTATATAAAATAGAATACATAGAACATATATACATAACTAAAGATATGATATTATACAAAATAATATATTAACCATAAAAATAAGGACAAATAAATTGATTGAATAAACAGGTAGGCAGGTAGTACTTAATCAATTATTTAGGATATTATAAACTAAGTAAGTGCAAGGTATCTAGTATCATGTATCATTATATTTACGAGCCACAATAATATATTTTCTATGCTACAATCTATGAAAAGGAAAGACTCCAAGATTTCACTGATATCCTGCTCGCATCCTTTATATAGTACAGCATTAGTGAGAATCGTTAGAATAGATAACACTATTATATATAGTAAATGACTAAATTACTCAAAGTTATTCAAGACTTAACTGTACATACCATAAATAATCTTATATTTTAAATTATGTTGTAATAATGATTGTAAAATGTAATTTATAACAAACCAACTGCCAAACTTGTCGAAAATTATCTAAATAAAAAACAATTTTTTTTTCGTAGTCGCTGTGTACGATGAAGAGTAAGTACGACGTACGTTGCAAAACCGTTAACTGACCACTTTCCAGTCAAATGGCAAATTATTATCTACATTACAATATTGTGCATTGATTGCAGTGTTCGAGCAATACCTATTTATAATTATGTACAGACTGTACAGTTATACGATTATACTTAAAAAAAAAAAAAGAATTAATAGATTTATCGTATAAATATACACACATAATGATTAAAATAATTAAAATTATGTGGAATAAAATTGCTTATTTCTTGACGTATAGGTTATAAGTACAATAGTATTCGCCATCTTGTATAGTGGTAGGTATCTACTATATAATGTACCTTAATTATTAAAAAAATTAATAGTGTTATATTTTGGACAGTCTTTATACATTGCATGTGACCTTCTATGACATATTATATGTATTATTATGGGATTATAGTTGCGTTTATTTGAATTTTTTTTTTTACCAATATTTCTGAATAACAATATGAATACCTGCTGTAATGAATATAAACAAAAATTAATTAATTTTCCATATTATCTATACCTACTACAACTGATTTGTATTATTTTATATTTTGTATGCGCTATTGTGTTTACTTAAATTACTTAAGAATATTAGATATCTACGTTGGCCATGAAAAATAAACGAATGGCTAAGAGTAACTCATTAAATATTTTTACTTCTGCGGAATTTACAGTATACATTCTATAGCTCATCTACAAACTCAAAATTAAAACCCGGAAGTTCGTAAACAAGTGCTAAAACTGATAATGTACACATATACCTACGTAATAGGTTCTGCTATTTATTATGCTATATATTTATTGCATCTATCATACTAAATAAACTAGAAGTGTATTCCAGTGAAACTTCTATGTTGCCTAGGTACCAAGTAATATAATGGTATTATTTTCCATATTGATATGATAATGAAAACCAAATAAATTCGTTAGATATAATTAAATACATTTGGTTTAATTTAATTATACCTATGGTTTTCGAAAATATTTCGTTAAACAAAAAAAATTGTTAAATGGAAGTTTCGTTAAGTATATATGAAAGTTATAATTTATGATAAATCAATAACCTAACCTTTATCATAGATTATCTGGTTTCATAAAATAATCAGAAATAATCAATAAAATAATAGGTAATATGTATCTCCATTCTGTTCTGATTGAAAATAACCTCATTACCTAATCATTACTAATGAGTAATGATTAATTGTTATTTGTTGGTCTAATCATTCATACTTTTCTCCGTTTTCGATTATAATAAAATTGAGAATGTATAGGTTTTATAATGATGAATTTATACTTTGTATTAATTTATACTGTCATCAATTCATAATATTTTAAAGTAGTGAAAATCCTTCAATCTTAAACTTGAGCTTTCTGGTAGCACATTAGACACAGTAAGTATTTGTATTTTGGTAATAATTATTATTGCATTTAATATTTTTATAGTTAAAATAATTTTGGTCATTTGGTCAAAATTAATTAAATCAGATGCACATATTATTAAGTAGTATATAAATATATTTAAAACTAGCTGTACCTAATATCCCACTTTTCATAGGAAAAAATAAAAATAATAATTAGTTATTATGAAAGACCTCGCTTAGTGTACTTAGAATTAAATTTAATCCGTTTAATACATCGGATTAACCAATTTAAGTGTAGATATCAACGACCGTGAAAATGAACAACGTATGTGAACACAAATTTTTGACACGATCAAATGAGTAGTTTTTAATGTGTGTAAAACGAATAGATGGCGCTACGGCCACATTACTATTTTCAAAGAAGAGAGTTTAGTGTAAAACACTTGGTTTTGAAACCTATTTCTTAGACCTTACTCCTTAATCCATCAATTAAAAATAAGCTACTTGAGTACTTTACCATTGAATAAGTGATTCCATTGCTAATCCGCGACAAAAACACGTATTTAAGCTAATAACAGTTTCTAAGTTTTTGTCCTCAATTTCAAACATCTTCAGAATAAAAAGTAGCAAAAGTCACTGCTCTACATGCCAATGAAAATAGGTTCAAAAATTTCGATAATAACCTACAGAATACTTACAGACATATTTTCTTTTGAAAATTCTAAACGAGAAAAA